TGTGTGTGTGTGTGTGTGTGTGTGTGTGTGTGTGTGTGTGTGTGTGTGTGTGTGTGTGTGTGTGTGTGTGTAAAAAACAACACTTACATTTGGCATGAAATTTAAGTTCACTCTGTCTATGTTCTAAATGCACCATAATGACTTGTTTCTTTTTTTAACTTCATAATTTTTAGTCTTTGATAGGAAGTGCTAAACCTTCAGAAAATGTTAATTATCAATCTAAGAATATCAAATTAAGTATTGACTATACAGTATATCCTTTTTCAATTAATTTTTTAGGCTTAGCAATATTAAGTGTAATTCCTAACAATTAAACATTGAACGAAACAAAATAAAAGTAAATGTATGAGAAGTATAATTCAGAACTATATAATTGGTACATAACTGGTAACAGGTTTGCAGATTTATCCCAAGATAATGTATAACTAACTGCCCACCTTTTGTGCTATGTACATTTTATGGCTCATAATTGTTTATCTAACATATCAAAGAGTTCTCACTACAAAAGCCTGATATCTAATGATTTTAAAAACTACAGTCAAATCTAGGAAAGTGCCTTGTTGGGTTCACGTGTGAGAGAGAAGATATGATTTTCTGTATGATTGTAGGTTGTTTGCAAGTTAGATGTTGAGATGGCCATAACATATGGGTCATTTGGTTATGGACACTCTCATCAGGTCAGTAATATTACTTAAGAATGCTGTAATGTTCTATGTATAAGCTCTTTATGATCAGTTAGGCATAAGCATTTTAGAATGATAAACTGATCATAATGGTGTTGTGGTTTTTCTTTAGGTGAAGCATCCTGAAAGGACTGTAGAGGAACAAGTGGAAAAATCACTTTTTCCCCGGTGTCCTTCACCTGACTACCTCCAAGATCCTGACTAGTGAGATTCCCTCCTAAAATAAGCATTGTCAAATGACTGATTTTTCATGTGAGCCACTAAACGTGCTTCTTTTTTCTTCTCTTTCAGTAATGAAAAAACCACTCAGTCAGACATTATTTCTCATTTGATTCAAAGAGACAGCGAAGGAGGCAGAGATCCCAGCGATCTTATGAACCAAATAGAGAAGAGAGGCAGGTGAGAACTATATTTTAATGTTTAATTCAATATTAATTTTTCTAATGTCATAGGCTACACTGTGTTAATAGTAACCTCAGTAAATAAATAGTTCACCCAGAAATACTTATTCTCTAATTATTTACTGAACCTCATGTTATTCCAACCTATAGTGACACCTAATAGTTTTTTTTTAAACTGTCAACACAATGAAATGATGACAAAAGAAGGCATTTTCCAAATCCGTCTGAAAATAAAAATCAAAAGTTTAAATAATCAAATAATTCTTAAAATATGAATTAATGTTTTATCCTTTTGATAAATACTGCTCTCATGCCGTTTACTCATGGTCAGTGTCAGTGTAATGTGATTACATTGGTGCTGAAAGAGAGTGTTTGTTATCATTTTTTTTAATTTTTTTTTGTAAATGAAATAAAGCTGAAATACAATAAAATGTAAACATTTGATGAAAACTCTAAAAACAACATTATTAAATAGAATTACAATTAAAGCTAAATAGAAATATTAAAAAATAATAAAAAATTGCAAAAGCACATAACAAAATTACTTGAAACTTGAATTACATAATAAACTGGAACCACAGATTATCAAACCTGTATTGTTACCTAAAATTAAAAGAGAAAATATAAAAAAAAAAGAAAAGATAATTTAAATAAAGCTGAAATAATAAATAAATAAATAAAATATAAATATTTAATGAAAATTTAAATGTAAACAAAAATTGTAAATAATAACAAGTTAAATAATTAAAATGACTAAAACTGAAATACAAATATTTGAAAAATAATAAAAATGACAGAAGCACATAACAAAATCACTAAAAATTAAAACCTTAAAGTAAAATAAAAACTTAAAAATAAAAGCTAATACTGGTTCAAACTGACTGAACTTTTATTAAACTCTGTTGTTGCATTTAAATACCATAGCTTTAATGTACTCATTTTATCTCATACATGTAGGGCATTAGTTTGATTTATTTTGCTATAATTAATGTTTATGACTTAATATTAATGTCTAAAATCAGACCAAAATAGCTTTAATTGTGTTTTACTGTTCAGGAATGTAGCTAAGAGGATGTCACATGATGATGTCATAATTTGGAATTTTAGAATGTTCCGCCTATAAAAGGAGCAAAACTGTCAGATTCTAAGTCATTTCTGACTGATGCATCTGACTAAGGCATTCCCTTGCAGATACAACAGTTGCGACAGTGATTTTTACTTGGCATTTGCGATTTGTACTCAGCCATTGTGAGTTCCACACAGCGGTTAGCTTTGGACCAAGAGCTTTCTGACAAAAATCTTCTTTCAGAGACAGTCAAAATGACCACGTGCTATGGTTTAGGTGAGGTTAAAGGTGAAAGAGACCAGTCGGGCCCTTTGTTTGTGGGTAATTTGCACCCACATGTAACCGAACAGGTGCTGCTTTCAATCTTCCTCCCATTTGGACCAGTCTGTTTTGTGAAAGTGTGCAGAGACAGAGCAACCAACCTCTCTCGTGGGTTTGGCTTTGTTACTTTTGCACACCGTCACAATGCAGAAAATGCCCTAGATACTTTGATTTTTTCTGAGCTCTTGGGCAAACCCATGCGAATGATGTGGGCTCAACACGATTCCACTTTGAGAAAAAGTGGAATTGGAAATATAATTATTAAGGGCTTAGCAAGAGACATCGATGACCTTGCTCTATATGACACTTTCTCATGCTTTGGGGAAGTTCTTTCCAGCCGAGTGGTCTGCGACAGTAATGGTCAACCTAAAGGCTATGGTTTTGTCCATTATGCCACACCAGAGGGTGCTGAATTGGCAATTAAGAAGCTAGATGGTATGCTGCTAAATGACCATCTAGTTTCTATATGCCATTACAAGCCCTACGAGGAACGCCAGGCGAACCAAAATGCCAATTCCAAATGCTGCAAAAAGAAAGACAACAGTCTTTATATATCAAACCTGCCATACAGCTTGGGCAGTGAGGAGCTGTGCTCCCTGTTTTCTGTGTTTGGATATGTGACCAGTGCAAAGGTTATTATGAACAACAGCCAGAGCATGGGTTATGGATTTGTTTCATATTCCTCGATTAATGATGCCATTATAGCTGTATCATTAATGAATGGCTATATTGTTGGTAACCGGCCACTGAAGGTTGCTTTCTCCCATAGTGCAGAAAAAAAGGAAATAGAACCCTAGCGAAGACCAAAAAATAGAGAGAAAAAAAAAACCCTAAGCGTATTTAAAAAAAAAAAATTAAATAAAATTCTAATCCTATCTCTAGTGCAAAAAAAAGTCCTAAGCCTATCCTATGCTGAGTGCAAATAAATTAAATAAAATAGTAAATGAAAATTAAATTAAAATGAAAAAAATTAAGCCTATCCTATCCTTAGTGCAAAAAAAAAATCTAAGCCTATTCTATCCCTAGTGCAAAAAAAACAAATAAATTCTGAATGATATCAATCCAAATTTCTGACTTGTGATGCAGCCTGGAATTAAGCCACAACATGTTGGCCCATCTGGCCAGAGGAGAACTGGCCTCCCCGACTGAGCCTGGTTTCTCCCAAGGTTTTTTTCTCCATTTCTCTTACTGATGGAGTTTGGGTTCCTTGCCACTGTCGCCTTTTGGCTTGCTTAGTTGGGGACACTTAATATAAGGCAATATAATTGCACGGTCACTATTGGATAAGGACTGAAGTGAGCTGATGATGACATCACTGTTTTCTCCAGAGCTGCTATAAATAATAAAATAAAAAATGTGCAGAGATTTTTTTTTTTGTGTTTGTGTGTATGTGTGTGCGTAACAATTTATAATTATTCACTTACAGAATCTTTCTAATATTTCTTCTTTATTAGCATGCCTTCTTTTTCCCCATTAATTTCTGAAAATCTTCACACGTTTAATTTGTATTTTAAGATGTGGGGGTAAAAATTATTTTACCTTATTTTATACAAAAGTTAAATAAACAAGATAATATATGTGGCATAAATGTTAAGACACAGCATTGTCAATATCATATGTTTTTGCTGTTTTGCCAACAAAATTCATTATGTATATATGCATCAGAATACTGTGCATAGTCATATGCATTTTCTTTTTATTACATTTTTGTTTGACAGTCATTTTACACTATTCACAATGTTTTAAAAAGAGCTGTGCAATGACTCTTCAGATCCCCCTTTTGTGGTGCCCCCAGGTTGCGCAAGCTTTATAAAACTCTAGAAAAATGTGAGACGAAGCAAGATGTTGTTCAGTTTCTGGAGAAACTGGTTATGAGACAGGAGCCTGAATCCCCCTGGACAACAAACAACTTGGAATCAGAAAAGCAACCAAACACATCAGCAAGTTCAGTCCTGTGGTATGTAACCCTGTAAACACACAAATGAAAGTTTTTTTCATATGTAATCACTACCCTTTTAACCTATGACTCCACTTTCACAGAAAGAAACGTCAACTTAAAAAGAAACCTGCCACATTCTCCAACAGAAAGAATCAGAAGACAGATTATTATAAAAAGATGTGGTGTTTAGAGCAGCTCTTGGTCTCTTACACAATATTACAGCCCTTTCAGAGGCTTGTGAATGTTTTGCTTATGAATGTCTCAATAAAGACGCTGGATAATAAATATTTTGTTTTGTTTTACTTATAACCTCCTTAATACCGAAGGCGTCTAGTAACGGAACTATTCCTCCTCACGGAACGTTTTAATCCCCGTTTGTTTTTACAAATGCGTCAGTCGAAACGGCCCCTTGTTGGTGAGTAGATACTGGTAAATTCTTCACCCATGAAACATTTAAAACGTTTTTTAAAATTCGTTATGTAATTAAATGTCTATCTGAACTATTTATTTGACCCTCTGTCATTTTTTTATGCATATCGAAAGAAGTGCACCTGTTACGCGTTAAATAATAGAAACAAAATAGTTTCATAATCATGGTTTGTCTAGGTTTGCGCAAGGCTCGTCAGACATTCTGACACGAATGCAAGAATGATATATTATATCGAACTTATCATTAAGAATTGCGGAAACCTTAGAAAATGTACCGTGATTATAACGTTACTATAGTAACTGTGGTAACGTGAACTGTTTCAGGTGAAGTGTTTTGTAACGGAGAAATCTGTTTTATCTCATTTCAAAATGTTTAAAGTAATATATTTCATCTTTTCATCATTTGTTTTTAGAAAACATACATTGATATAAGAGTAGTAATGAGAAACCACTCATGTATTAACTTGTGGGTGTGCATAAACATGTTATTGTTTATTTGAAGTAGATTGTGTAAAGTGTGCTGTGGGGAAATGGAAACAGGCCTATTTGCTCTCCCATGGGTGCCAGTGAATATTGGTGGTTTTGATCTACTGGCCAAAGCCTGGTTCGGTGACACACAGTACCGGGTTCTGCTGAATGACCTGAACACTGTGTGGGAAGAAGAAATGACCGCAGATGACATCCAGAGTCGAGCACAGGCAAGAACGTACAACACTGCTGCTATCTAGTTGAAGTGATTTTAATTAAATACTTAAATTGGAGCTTTATTGGATCTTATAAATTCCTTATATTCTTTAACATGAAACACTGAGGAGACAAAACACACTCAAGACAATGTATTTCCGTTCAACTAAAATCACTGAAATGTGCAAAGCAGATAAGAATGAAATGTTTCTCAGTACTATAGTATATAGGATTGTATCACCACAATATTCAGTTCTAAGGGGAATTCTTAGCCTGTCAACATTTCATACTGATTTCTTCTCTTTTTCCTCTCTTCCTCTGTAAGAAAGGATCTGAATAAGTGTCTGAGGGCTCCTACACAAGCTTTCTTCTCTCATCTATGTTCTGTGGCACGGCCTTGTTTCTCCAGTGAAGATGATGATCAGATTTCTACTGCACACGTTACTCTTGAACAGCATGGTGACAATCTAACAGTCAAACTCAAAAGTGAGCTGGCTGGGTTGCCATTCTACTGGGAGTTTCGCTGCACCACAACACCTGTTGGCGTGGTATGAACCTTATCTGATAAAATAATGTCTGCAGCTGTGATGTAACATGGTTTCAAATGTGTTTGAAACATTTAATCTATTCTTTTAACCCTGTGAAGCCTGACATGAAATAATAGTCAGAAAACTGTAATTGTTTTGAAATGAAGCAGTTTTTTTAAACAAATGGATAGATGGATATAACGTTTGCTGATGTGTTTTCATTGAGTATCATATTTGATACATGGTTTTATGGCTCATATTGTATGATACAGGAGAAAAAATAGCAAAAATATTCAATTTGGTGCAGTTGCTAATATTTATATTGCCAAAAGATGAAATTCTGCTACCTTGTAATGTAAATCAGTGAGATATTTTATAAAAGTACAATAGAATACATACATAAAATGCATATAAATATCAGTTGTCACTCTATATCTACCAAAAATATGTTTTAGTAAGATTATATTTAAATGCTTAGTTTTATCAGAGCTCTGTAGGTTTTATTGCGAGGTCAAAACATATAGTGCAATGCAGTACAATGATGGGAGGATATAATAAGTGTTCCTCAAAAGCCTGATGGATCATTTTTGATACTCAAATTTTAACAAGATTTTCAAAAATAATAAATTTGTCACCCAAGTAGCTTCAGTCCAGCAAGTGTTCATCTTAAAATATTACTAACAATATAAAAGTTATTCTACATTTACTTTATGAAAATCATTAAATATTTTTCATCAAAAAGACACATCTTGAAGGTGAACATTTTTAGAATTATAATAAAATGCTTTTTACTTGTTGAAAAAAAAGTACAAACTAACAACCAAAAGGCAGAAGGCATAAAGTAGATTTGTAGACTCGAGGCCTTAAAAATCGATGTATCAAATACACAGTACGTTTCTGCTTGTGAATCAGGTGTGCAGGCACCTGGTGCGCCCCCTGCTGGCAGTGAGTAGAGTCCTGCAGCGGCAAGTGGAGGATCTAGCTGCTCTTCTGGCTCGGAAGGACGCAGAGATACAGGACTATCAGGAGAACGGAGCTGTCCTAAGTAGAGGTAACAGTCGCATCTAGCATTCTCTCTTATGTCTGTTTTTAGCTTGCTGACACTCATCTAAAACTCTGCCCTCACAGCCAGACTACAGATGGAGCTGTTTGAGGTGCACGGGTACAGGGAGAACTTCTTCACACAGGTGCGAAACATTTTTACATTCAGTGTCCTGCTAAATTTAGCCAGTGTAAACAAGCTCCGTCAGAACTAGCATGCATGTGACATCGTGATTCAGTCACATGTATGTACTGAAGCCAGGCCCCTGTGCTGCTTCTAGGGTTTGTTACGGGAGAGAGAACTGTGAAAGCTAGACATGAAGAGAGACTGGATCGCTGTTTGACTCAGAGCTGAGGGTCACCACACACATGCATACACACACAGTGTATAATTAGGCTGTGGTTTTTGCAGTGACAGCTCAGTTGTAGCGTTGCCTCACACTGAACTGTCTATTGACTGGATCATGTTTTATTTCTTTTCCCGCCATAGGTGTGTGTGTGTGTGTTTTAGAATTTCCTGCTTTTTTAGCGATGAGTGGGATTAGGACTGGGCAATATGATGGTAAAACTAAAGCGTTTATACAGTGGATGTACAGTGGGGTCCACTTTTGAAGAATTTTATATTTTTCTAATTAAATTACTATTTTTTTAAATGACAAAATATATTATCAGTTTAACAATTTGAGTGAATACCTGAAATAAATGTCAACTGAAATAAAATGAAATATTGAAAAATAAAAATTAAGCTAGTTGCTGCTTAAGCAGCACTTAAGCATTCCATTTTATTTTTTTATGATTGTGGCAATAGACTACTATACTAAATTAGTACTAAATAAGTACTAAAATAGCACAGCTGCAAAGATGTTCACATGATCAATGTCACTAATGTACAACCCCAGTTCCAGAAAAGTTGGGACGTTTTGTGAAATGCCATAAAATCAAGAATGTTATTTTTATATTTGTCCTTCACATTTTTTTAATTGACTAAAGTACAAAGAAAGACATTTCCAATGTTTTCATTGGCCAACTTAATTTTATTTTGTAAATATAAATGAATTTTGATGGCTACAACGCACTCCAAAAAAGTTGGGACAGAGGCATGTTTAACACTGTGTGAATTCACCTTTCCTTTTAATTACACGTTTTAATCATCTGCGAATTATGGATGCTAATTTTCAAAGTTTTGCAAGCCCAGTCTCGCTTGATACAAGACTTCAGCTGCTCAACAGTCCATAGTCATTGTTGTCTGATTCTCCTTTTCATGATGGGCCATATATTTTCAATAGGAGACAGATCTGCTCACATCGAGTCACATCCACATGTGTCTACGGAACCACGCTGTTGTAGCACATGCAGAATGAGACCCGGTATTGTCTTGATCCAATAACCATGGACTTCCCATGAAAGATGTCATCTTGATGGCAGTATACAGTGGGTACGGAAAGTATTCAGACCCCCTAGGTCCCTTTGGTCTTTGGGACTGAGAACTCAACGTCCTTTTTACCCAGAAACAGGTTGAAATGTGGACTCATCTGACCACAGCACACACTTTCACTGTCTTTTTGACTATCTGAGATGAGCTCTGGCCCAGAGAACCCTGCAGCATCACTGCATAGAATTAATGTATAGCTTTCTCCTAGAGTAAAAGAGATTCAAGTTACATTTATTGATGCAGCGGAAGATTGTGTTAAGTGACAGTGGTTTTCCGAAGTACACCTGAGCCCATGTGGTTATATTATATTAACATCGCAGCATGACGGTTTCTTATGCAATGCCATCTGAGGGCTCAAAGGTCATGCACATTCAACTGAGGTTTCCTGCCTTGCCCTACATGTACTGTGTTTTCTCTGGATTCCCTGAATCTTTATGTATGGTAGTTGGTGAAAGACCTCAATTCTTTGCGATTTTTCATTGAGAAATTAGATTTTTTTACTTGTTTGACCCTTCTCTCATGAAATTTGGCACAAAGTGATGAGCCATGATCCAGCTTTGCTTGCAAAGATCGAGATGCTCCTTTTATATCCAAACATGATACCCTCACCTATTACCCATTCACCTGCTTACTGTGAACAGTTTCAAAACAGTTTAATTTGGATATTCTATAACCTTTTCACTTTTATTTTGCCTCTGTCCCAACTTTTTTGGAGTGTGTTGCAGCCAACAAAATCAAAATGTGTTTTTATTTACAAAATACAGTACATTTACGTTGGTCAGTGAAAACTTTGGCAATCTTTTCTTTGTACTTTTGTCAATTAAATAAAAGTTATAGAGAATTAACAAATTACATATTCTCGATTTTATTACATTTTACAAAACGTTCCAACTTTTCTGGAATTGGGGTTGTACTTATTTGATTAGTGATGTAGAAATAATGCAGAATCTTAAATATTTCCGTACATTTTGTCTTCTCCTTTTTTTTCTTCAAAAATTTCAACATAGAACTTTATTGATAAATTTAAATGTTTACTTTCATGTTTACATTAAGATTTTTAATCTCAAGTTTTCAGTGTGAACAGTGTCGGACTTAATTAATGGATAAAATTCAACTAATGTGTGGTCTTTTGACTGGCTATTTTACAGTGTCTTTGAATGTGGCTCCTACTGAACTATCCATTTGATAGTATTGATTAATATTTGTAATAATAAAATTGAATTAATATTTGACACTAATGTCAGACATATGATTCACTTCTTTTGAATAATCTGATCTGTTGGTTTACGTCCAATCAGGTTGTAAAGACTTCAGTTGTAAAGTATTTAATTTAGTAGCTGATGATCACCATATTTTTATTTGTTTTTAAGCCTTTTTTCACTGAATATTCAGCAAAACAGTAGCTGTATCATGACATATTGTCATATATAACTACTCATACCAGGGATTTGGTCATACCACCATTCCTAAGCAAGAATGCCAGTCAATCATGCTTCTGACCGCTCTGCCTTAAGGTCATTACAAACACACTGACCACAGTGGGAGGAGCCAAAGCCACAGTCATAATTTAGACCAGAACTGTGTGTTTATGGGGGACACTTTTTGTTCTCTTGATGAGTAATGTTCTTGTGGCTGTGAGTTATTTATTGGATTCAGCCACGAGTGCTGGCAGCCGTGTTTTCTGCGCGAGGTGAGTCCTTTGATAGGCCTATGTTTGATCTCTGTCAGTGTGTATGTGTGAGTCCACCGGTATTTCTCACTGGCCTGGTGAATGTGCAGTCAGATATGTGTGGCCTGACTTGGTGGTGTGAGAAAAGGATATGAGTCTGCTCACCCACTCGCCCACTGTACCAAACACTGACTTACTAGTCGCCCCTTAAAGGGTTAGTTCACCCAAAAATGAAAATTAGCTTGTGTTTTACTTACCCTCGAAGCATCCTAGGTGTATATGACTTTCTTCTTTCAGACGAATCCAGTTGGAGTTATATTAAAAATTGTCCTGGCTATTCCAAGCTCTATCATTGCAGTCAGCGGGTGTTGCAGTTGAACAGTCCACAAGTCGTCAAATAAAGCTCGCGCATTCATAATAAAACGTGCCGCAGACGGCTCCGGGGGATGAATAAAGGCATGTGAATACATGTGTTTTTGTAAGAAAAATATCCATATTTCAAATGTAATAAACACTTTTCTCTCACTTCCGCTGACTGTCATACACTGAAGCCGTTCCGGCGGATGACGTAAGACGCGCGGCGTTGGGTGATTAGTGACGAATGCGGAGAGAGAACAAAACAAAACACCGGTCACTAATTAGAAATACAAACCTAGGATTTGCAAAGAAAAATGTCGGAGGATTTCGATATAAACCAAGAGGAGACTGGTTTTCCTTTGCTAAAGTAAGGAAACTTTGCTTCCTTTGCTCCTATAAACAAACTCGCGAGACTAGCATACCTCAGAGGCGCGCGCGTTGCGCATACGTGCTGCGTCATCAGCCGGACCTGCTTCAGTGTATGACAGTCAGCGGAAGTGAGAGAAAAGTGTTTATTACGTTTGAAACTAATTTTCATTTTTGGGTGAACTAACCCTTTAAACAGGTGGAATTCCAACCCACGGTGACACAAGTGTTAGATGTATTACTCCATAGCTTTCACAGCTGATAACAATTACATACAGGTGCATCTCAATAAATTAGAATGTCGTGGAAAAGTTCATTTATTTCAGTAATTCAACTCAAAT